AACACTCAATTTTCAATTAAAGGCAGTTCATCATTGAATTCAGTGATGTCATCATCCAGCTAAGTTCAGTTTAAATAGTATCTGTGTAAGCAAGTCGACGATATCGCTGGAAATTAGGTGTCCCCCAACTAAGCAAGCCAGAGGCGACAGCAGCAAGGAACCAAAACTCCATCGGTGACAGAATGGAGAAAAAACCTTGGGAGAAACCAGGCTCAGTCGGGGGGCCAGTTCTCCTTTGGCGAAACCAGCAGTTCAATTCCAGGATGCAGCAAAGTCAGATTGTGCAGATGTAGAGGTCCTCTCTAGGTGCTGATCCACCATCTGGGCTGGATACGTACTGGATCCGGGTGACTGCAGTGACCATCTGATTTGGATAAAGACTGGATCTGGTGGCTATGGTGACCTCGGAATAAGAAAGAAACAGACTAATAATAGCATAGATGCCATTCTTCTAACAATTTAGCAAGTACATCGGGTGTTATGGGAAGTGTTCCCGGTTCTGGTTGTGCTAATTAATGCAGCCTAAAAATCCTTTAACAGATTTGAATATTAGAAATGTGTTAGTGTGTTATGTGTACAGGTGCATCTCAATAAATTAGAATGTCATGGAAAAGTTCATTTATTTCAGTAATTCAACTCAAATTGTGAAACTCGTGTATTAAATAAATTCAATGCACACAGACTGAAGTAGTTTAAGTCTTTGGTTCTTTTAATTGTGATGATTTTGGCTCACATTTAACAAAAACCCACCAATTCACTATCTCAACAAATTAGAACATGGTGACATGCCAATCAGCTAATCAACTCAAAACACCTGCAAAGGTTTCCCGAGCCTTCAAAATGGTCTCTCAGTTTGGTTCACTAGGCTGCACAATCATGGGGAAGACTGCTGATCTAACAGTTGTCCAGAAGACAATCATTGACACAAAGGAGGATAAGCCACAAACATTCATTGCCAAAGAAGCTGACTGTTCACAGAGTGCTGTATCCAAGCATGTTAACAGAAAGTTGAGTGGAAGGAAAAAGTGTGGAAGAAAAAGATGCACAACCAAAGTTTGGGCGCTAAATAGGAAAAGGATCTGCCGCCTGCAGTTGATTTTGATATTCTAGGTATTACCAAATTGCCAGAGTTTTGAGAATGCAGCGGACGTGGAGGACTATAATGCAATAAGAGCTCGTTCAAATTCTAAGGTGCAAAACCATTCAGGGCTTTATAAGTAATAAGCAAGATTTTAAAATCTATACCATGTTTAATAGGGAGCCAGTGCAGTGTTGACAGAACCGGGCTAATATGGTCATACTCCCAACTGTGCATTATGGCCAAACATCTCCACTTTGCTCTCGTCTGTTCAAAGGACATTGTTCTAGAAGTTTTACAGTTTGTTCAGATGTAATTTTGCAAACCTAAACCGTGCTGTCATTTTTTTAGATAGAAGCCCTGCAAACAAGTCCAAGGGCCCCCAGCAGGCTGCCATCGCAGGGCCTCTGAAATTTTGCACTTTGGCAAAACGTTGGCCCTTTAGCGCTAGCCCTGCACAGGCACCCCTCACTTAGCCCCCAGGAAACCCTCACTATGCCCACACAGGGCCCGCACTATTAATCTACAACCAGTGATGTACAAAGTACCTGAAAACCATACTCAAGTAAAAGTACAGATATCTTACCAGAAAATGACTTTGGTAGAAGTTGAAGTCACCGTTTAGAATATTACTTGAGTAAAAGTCTTGTGATATTTATTGTACTTAAGTATTGAAAGTAAAAGTACAAGTAAATGCAAAATGGAAAAGAAGCAAACAAATATATATATATAAAAAAATGTTCATACACAGCTTGAGTAGCAAGATTGTGTTCAGTTT